AAAAAACAGTTGCATCTATGTCATTACGCATTCAGCATGTTTGAGAATCTTCTACGGTGATATTAAATTCAATTTTTCGAATAGTACAACAAGCTTTTAAAAATTACAATAAATTGAAAAATTTTTGTAGGTCCCGTTTTTTTATGAGTGATAGTCAAATTTATAACTATACACTAATGTTAAATAGTTTATTGTACAAAGTGGTCTTTTTCCATCTTAAAATTTACTCTTTTTTCGTACTGCACTGTATATTAATTGTTGTATTGAAATAGACAGTTTCATCGTTATTTAAAAATCTTGTACTACTTATTATTCACTATGTTGTTCAAGTAATAGTATGTTTGCAGCTCTAACCTTAAGTAGACAGAATTGTTCTCTTGCACGGAATAAAAAGTGTGTCAGCTATCCTGTAGTTGGTAAGGTATCTAATGTAACGTACTAGTAGCACTGCTGCCCAATTTTTAGGAGCACTGTGATCCCAAACGGGAGAGCAGCTCTCTCAAGCTGTAAGAACGCTGCTTAACCCAAAGCAAGGTACAATAGCCGTTTCAGTCAGTACTGTGGCGTCAGCAACTTTCTCTCAGTGTATCTAGTAGGATGGATGACTGAGTCGTCTGAGGGGAACTTTGTAAGGGGCCCACACGAAAGTACCTGAAATGGGTATGCGTGAAATTCTAATGCTACTTACTGTATTTTATTGACCTTAAGTCATCGTGATGTGTTGAATCATTGCATAAGCTTCAGTCTATACTCAAATATCAAAGAAATCATACGGCAAAAAATAGTTTCGAAATCATGACATTTTTAGTTTAGAAAGAAGTGCTTACGTAGTTGCTAAGTTGGTCTGTTCCAAAACAGCATGTAGTATATACACGTATCGTTTACGATTATCCAGAAAACTTTAAAAGGTCTTGAGATTCAAAAGTGCAACAAGAAAATAACAAAATACGATCCGTTTATCCAAAAACTCTTGCCAACTCCTTACCACTAATGCTCATAATTTACAGTGACATTTGTAAATCATGCATGGTAGGAGACGTTTGATCACGATTGTTGCGAGTCATGTTGTTAAATCTTTAAGGTTAAGGTTAAGTTACAAGTACTGATATCAAAACGCGTTTTTTTAAATTCTATCACAACGGTAAAAAAAGTCAATAACTTATGAGCTTTTAAGAATTTTGTAATTAAAAAGTTTATTTTTGACGTTAAAAGTTGTGTAGCATTATATCCAAAAAACTTATTATCCATTCTCGATTGCATTACAATAAAAAAAAGTTTATAAAAGTGACTGCCTTGTACGTACAATTTAAAAGACAACCTTGAACTTCAGATGTTGTGTTTGTAAAACACATAGATTCTATTGAAATAACATTTACATTCCTTCATTGGGACATGACGCACTACTATCAGGATGGTGTTTCGCGTTAGGTACAACATTCTGTACAAAGTTCTTATTGATTTAAAATTATTTCTTGTCACGAATTAATTTTAAAAAATGCATGATAAATAAGAAACAAAATTTATAAATAACAATATCTATACTTATGTTATCTCCTAAATATAGTTTTATAGGAATTTTGAAACGAAATTTTACCAAGTATCGGTACCTTTACCTCACTTGTACAGCTATGTCAAAATTAAAACTTTCTTAACTCCTATGCATAAATGATTGTTATTAACCTCTGAAGGAAAAAAGCTGAAAAAAAATTAGACAAACTTATGGAAGGTTTAGGGTGTAGAGTAGGTTTACTTGACGAGTCATTTCAGTTACAATTATAACTTGGAGCCGTGCGGTCAAGGCATGGGCGTCTTAAATGTATACAAAAAAGACACAAAGAAAAAATAGCAATAAAATAAAAAAAAAAATAAATGAACTGCATGACGTATATTAAAAAGTTCAATTTTAAAAATAAGGACTTTTTGCATAGTCACACATGACAGGGCTTAATATCTAATTTTCTTTTGTTTGATACTGCAGCAAATAAAACAACTAAAAAGGGATCCCACTGGATTTAGTACAATCTGATTCTATCGTTTATGGAGAATTTACCAACCAAATTGGTAGTACCAGGTAATGGTGACAAGTACATTGGTCTTGCACACATGATACTCAATCTTCGTGTCAAATTAGCTGTCAATGAACATGAAAAATTAAAAGATGACGTAACATCTAAAACAACAAAAGCGAGGTCGATCAATAGTTCCATGCTTTTCTTTGTTCAACCATATTGATGTATTTTTTAATTGGAAATCTGTGTTACCTTTAAATATTGCATACGCTTACAAAACGGATTTAAAAACATTATGAAATGACGGACTTGCGGAAAAATCATCCCACTTAATGAGTGCATTATAGCGTTTCACAACGAATACAAAAATATACGATGTGTCGAACACCACCATGGGGCTTAAACTAGTTGATTAATCTAATTCGTCACATTCATTGTAACGTATGTAATCACGAGAAATCACTCATTGGTAACGTCAAGGTAAGAATGTGATTAGAAAGGTTTGACGATGAATTTTGCCTCATAAAAACATAAAAAAGAGTTTCTATTCGCATCGAAAAAGCAAATCTTACAGTGAAATGCATTTTAATAAGCCCATTTGTTTTGCTAACCCATACAAAAGCTCTGTCTAAGAGCATTGTAAAACAACCGCTCACATGTATCTAAGTAAAAGCTGTGACAATGAACAGTGATATTTAGGAAGAAACCTTAAGTATTATTATTTTAGACCAGATACTTATCAAATAATCAACGATTAAAAAAAAATTAAGCTATTAATACTGATCATACAGATTTTTCTAATTCTTAAAATTTAAATATCAAGTTTCTCTGCTTAAAAATTGACAATGTTAGAATTTATTCCAAACCATTGCAACTAGACTTCAAAATGAGTAGCTTGTAGGTAAATGCTTATTAAATCTTGTTTTCAGGTACAAGTGTTTACGTTCTTCATCAAGAAATTATATAAATCGTGCATCTAGTATTAACCGTAACCATCTTTTTACGCTTGATTCTACACTAGATTAATTAATCAACAAACATATTAATTAAAATCTGATTTAATACGGTAGCATTAGGTTAGACGTTAGATTTTTTAACGCTCTTGTCTTAATTGTTAACTGTATAGTGAATGCTAAGTATAAAAAAATTTTGTCATTAATGCGTCACGTTATTCATAATTCAGTTTCACAGATACATAATACCATTATTTATGTGAGGAACATTTCACATCAACATAAACAAAATGGTAGATCCAGTAGGGAAGCCATTTTTATTCAAAAATTGAAAAAAATGGCTGCCATATTACATCTACCATTTTGCATTAAAAAAATTTTACTCTTGATTAGTGATTACTTCAAAGGAAGGTAACCTTAAAAACATGTGTATGCATATCAAATTTGACTAATTTTGTGTTATATATAGAGATATAATGGTAATTTGTATGAATTGTTGACTTCCACCGTTATTTTAGGCAATTACTGGATAAGGTTCATTAGTTGACTTAGTCCAATCCAAAAGAGATAAAAAAAAAAAAAAAAAGCTAAAAGAAGTTATAATATACTGTTTAAAATTTTGGTTTTTCCATTAACTTGCTGTTTGATTATGTCACTACATTTTCTTAGTTTCTGTTGGTACGTTTAACCATACATAAAATGTGATGGGCCATGTCATAGATACTCAGTACTTGAAGGTGAAAAAAAATGTAATGGTGCCGAAAGAAGTTTCTATCGTTGCTTTCTACAACGATTTTTCTACGTATAGAATGATAACACCACATTGTCATTTACGAAAGCTGAATAAGGAGGCAAAAGGACAAAGTAATTGGTAATCTAAACATTACCAAGCACTTGGTAACTTTGAGGGTAAAGTAATGTTAGGATAAATTTTCAAAATTTTAAACGATATGAGAAAAAATGTGAAAAAATTTACATCAGGTGTTACGAAAAGTGATACGATTTACCCAAAATAGCTCTTCGTTAAGTGATAATTTTGGAACCCCGAGATTGGTTGTTCACCATCAAAAGATTCATTATTTCAAGTGTATTAAAGATAAAATCATCAAAAATATTAATGTACTTTAAAAAACGGTCATTTACTTACAACTTAAAGCTGCAAACCTAATGGATAGCCTACAGATACTACAAATTATGTTACAAATTACGACCCACATCAACAAAGTCTTCCCATCCGATAAGATCCCAAGAGTATGGACAAAGCTTGTATAACTTGTTATTAGCACCATGTTTGACTACCCACTTTTAAAAAATTTACAGTAGAAAAGACAGTGTATAACTTACGTATGAAAACTTAATTGTTAAGAATATTGATGTGCCATTAATAATTTTATTTCAGAATTTTAATACATAACCAGTTATTTAGTGCTCATGAAGTTTACTTTTGTTTCATCAGGTACCTGTATTATTTCTTTCACTATAAATATATATATATATATAATTACAGAAACTTAATGGTATCATGGATTTGTTGAGTTTTTCTTTCATCACAATATGATGTCCTGTTTCAACATATTTTAGCACTTGTCGTATCTTTACCTGAATTACAATTTTAAGGTCAGAAGTTCCTGACTTTATTAAATAGTGAATATCTCATTTATTGCTTTAAAATTAATTTGTATAGACAATGACGATTAAATGATTCTTATAATTCTTGCAAAAACTTAGACCCTCAATAATTTAAAACTATTCTAACGAGGTTTTTCTGAAACTCGTGTGAGTGCTACTTACATACACAGTTAATTACGCTTAAAATAGGAATGGATGAAAAAATATTAATTTAATGTAACTCAGCAGATTTGAAATAACTTTGTAATCATAAAGAACAGTCTTAAAAGACTCATACAAGAGCTTCACGTGAAAGATATTTATAACATTTTCTTAAAAAAAACTTTTGTAATACGGTTCCATAATAATATCCATCAACTTTATTTAGTAACTAAGTAATTTAAGTGATCTGTAATACTTTTAAACTTACTAATGAATAATAATATCGCCCAACGGATTTTGGCATCCTGCTCAATTGGATGTTAATAATATCATATTCTGAGAATATACGATCCCCATTGTCATCAAAAGCAACACGACCCGTTGCTCCACTCTCAAGAACTTGCTGTCGCACATACCTGAAAACAAAGAAAACTGTTGAATGTTTTATTTAACTACTGTTTTATTTGCTATCGGACAACGACAATGTCATTTGTGCTTAACAATTGGATAATACAGTAATATTTTTTAAAAGTCTCATTCAACTGATGTAAAAATTAGTTTATCTGTACACTGATGATCCCTACGTAAAGATCGACAGGAAAAAATAAAAATAATCAATACATAAAAAAAATAGAAGAATGAGTAATATTAACTTACAATTTGTAGTTTTAATAAATTATGGATGAAGTTGTAAGTAAAAAACCTTATCCTTTGATCATAGTTAAGCTGTTTCCAATGATAAAAAACATTCAAGGTTTTACTATGCCCTGCAGCAAATAAAATTGACTTGTTGCGCTATTTTTAGTTAAAAGTCTATCGTTTACATTTTTTTGTACTTCTCAGTGCAATATACTAAGATTTGTTAGTATATCTTTCAATACGCTTATACGTGCCTACTTGTATACGTATAGCCATTAATCTTATTTATTAAAGATAAGGGTTTCAATAGTTTTGAAAACATTATAAGCTTTGAATAAAAAATTAATGTTTAATTGGTCGTAAAAATAATTTTTTAATTCTTCAGCTTTTTTTAAAACTTCTTCCCGCAGTTTTATATTTTTTCATTTTTGTTATCTCTGGTTTATTTATACGAGGTGCTATAAATATATAAATTATTTTTTTTGTATTTTATTTTCTTATAACTTTTTTACTCAGGAGACTTTTTTAAGTTAATTATCTACATTACTATTATACGAAGTGAAAGTTCAGAGAAGTGAGAGAAGTACAAATGTACAACAATACAGGGAATTATTTTACTCATATAAATATACATGTTTATATTTACGCTTCTACATATAGTATGACCCTTCTTTCTAATTTTGTTCAAAAAACAACTTGTTTATCTATTTGAAAATTAAGCAGGTTTATTTAATATATATTATTGACCACGTCAATCACCTATTTCATATAATTAAAAAAATACTAATCGATAATAAAGGAGTATTTGTTTGTTTCTATGTATTCTTTTATAAAAGTATGAAACGCGAGTGCTTAGCGACTTTGAAATATCCAACTGTTTACCTGCTGTTGCAATTGCATAACCTATATCTTCTTTCATACACTAGCTTACGCAAGATCAAGAACAATCAATAACTTCAGCATTTATTACTGTAAATGATCTACAAAGAATATCATACATAACGACTATAAAAGTAAGTTAAGTTAAGAAAAATTAAAACTTGGTAAAACATTGTTAATGCAAATTTAAGAATTTATTACATTCAATCTTGTAAATTAAAATATTGTTTCTCCTACTACGTTTATTAAAATATGATATAAACCATAACTTACTTGCTTTACTGATTGCTTTTTCAATTTAAATGTTGAAAAAATATTTAAAATTCAAATGAATAAAAACAAAACTTTAACTTTAACTAACAAATTTAAATCAAAGCAAAAATCAGCAGATTATCATATGACAAAGATTCTTACAAGAAAGTGAGATAAATAGACAAATTTCAATACGCAACTACTACATTACAGCAGATAGAAATTCATACAGTAGGTCAACGTCAGTTTAGCGTATGACACACTAACGCCACTTTCTACATGTCACTCTAAGAAATCCAACACCACAACGCTAAGTCAACGATTTAAAATAACAAAAACAATCAAAAATTAATTTTTTATTTATAGAACGAATCAATAGGTTTCAAGTAACACATCAATTTGATAAAATAAATCTAATTCAAAATATTGATAGGTGAGTCGTGTTTTATTCTAATTTTTTCATAAAATTGATTGAAAAGTAAAATAAAATACATGTGTGTAAGTGTCAAAGTGTGAGTGCGCTCGCGCGCGTGTGTGTGTGTATGTGTCAAGGTTTGCGAAAATTGGTAAGATGTCAGTAAGGTTTTCCAGAAATAGTGGTGAGCTCAATAGTGATAAAAAAAAAGTATTCGTGGAGCCTATGAGAAATGTGGGTGGAAGCAGGAGAGTCTGGATAAAAAATATTCTGTATAAAAAACGGCAAAATTGACGGAATTTGACATTATGTTGTGGAGACGATGGGAGGTCAGTAGGATTTTGTAATAAGCAGTCGACAATCATGTTTAATACCCCACTTAACTGTTGTATAGTGTAAAATATATGTATATTTTATAAAAATTGCCACACTTTTACGCCCTAATTATTATTTTCTGAGCTATTTGTGCAAAAATTTGTTTATTCTTTCTATTTGAAGTTACGTGAGGTCCGAATTATGTGAAAACTCCTTGGGCTGACCGCTTGCTTGTTGTTGAAAACCTATGTTACTTAAAGAATAATTTTGGGAAAATTTTGACTGAAATTTAGAAAAAATATGACTGTACTCGTTTTGCTATTGTTTTTATCCCTTACTTTTATCATACTACTTACTCCCCTTAGCTGACCTTAGAATAAGGTAAAAATATTTTAATTATTCTGTTATCTAATTAGAAATAATATTCAACCAAACCCCTACCCCCTTATACTTTCTGTTTTTAGAGGGCTTAGTTTTTCCGGTACTACTCTTTCACCTTTTCAAAATGTTAAAACAAAACTGCATTCTTACGTAAACTACTTCGATAACTATATTGTTTTGAAAGTTGATTTTATTTAATGTAAAAGTCAACTATAAGCCACTGTTCTGTACAAATTGATGAAAAATTTTTAAATTACTATTGAGTTATTTTCATGGCACACTTAAATACTTTGTTTTTAAGTTAAATGGAAAAAAATCCCAGTCCAACGCTTTGAGGTACTTTTTTTCTTTAAAAGATTTATGATTAAATAAATAAAAAAAAAAAATACACTTTTTGTGCCCAGCAAGCTCTGCATAAGGCATTGAGGCTGAGAGAAACCATTATTGGTAAAATGACGATTAGACTGGATTAAAACAACAGTCAACTGTGTGGTAGGGGCGATGGAAGTGGACTGACTTGCGATTCACTTTTTTCTTAGTTAAGTTCGTTAATGCTACAAACAAAGTCTTCTCTCACAAGCAACAGTGCAATGACACTATGGGATTGGTATGTTAAACGTCCCCAATCCTGATAATAATCCTTACTTTAATTCTTCTTGTCCTACAAGGTAGAATTGACGATAACGGTTAACCTGGATGTTAGAATTAACTAGAACAAGTAGTGGCTTTCACATTATTTGAATCTGTTAGTCTTTAAAAACGCTTCAAAGCTTATCTTCGATTTAAGTTTAGCTTAAGTTGAAAAGGGTTTAAGCTCCACTGTTGGTCAGGTAAGCTTGCTTTTGGTAGTCCTAATTTGTACGATCCTTGAGAGTCAGTAACAATGAGTAAATACACTTACGATAAAAAATAAAAGCTAGCTCCTTGAAGGAATTAGTATACTTTTTACGAGAATGAGATCTTTATTCTGTGGAGATTACTAAACAGCTTTTTATTTCGAACTCATTAGTAAACTTATCAGGTACTTTTCAACCCAGCGTTTCTAAAAGATTTCTACAATTAAAAATGGCTTTCCATTAAGCAGTTTGTAAAATTTTGATCGTAGTCCATACTCTAGTCTGATTCGGGCACAAAGAAAGAGATGCAAGAATAAGATAATGAGCTGAAGTTATCGGTAGTTCATCATGAACGTCATTCAATGAAGCTGTTCAATGCCAGAAATTTAAACAATCTGTTATTTCACATAGAAAGGTAAGGTATTACATAAATTTCAATATATGATTTTCAGTAATATGCTTGAGATGATATTTACTTAATTGAACTGTAGTTTAAGCTTAGCATAAGCCACCGCAATTAGAGACCCAATGGTGAAATAAAAATTAGTTCATTTGGTACCGAATCATTCAAAAAAAGCTTCTTGACTTATTATTCCATTAAAGTGCACCCTCACTTTCACAGCGGTTTCCAAAAATAAGTACCTCTATTATAAAATTGGACAATGCATTGGCCTTGACGAGCTGTAAATCAATACTACGGGGTTACTGCATCAAATGGCAACAATTGCGAATATTTTTGTAAAATTAAAAATTTCATGCTTAAGAATACTACAGTTCTTAAAAGTTTTTGAAAATTGACCTGTATTGTTCGATTCAAACTGTGGCGTAAATGATGTTTTCTACTTTTTAAATAATTATTTAACGTTATTCCAATCTAACACAATTTTTAGCACATTTTTAGGACTAAAAAGCAGATTTATAACTTTATGACTTTGATCCCAACAATATAAAACTTGTTAGAGGAGGTCTGCTCTATATGTAGCTTTATTTACACGCTAATCGTTGTTTTTGCGATAAAAATGAGTTAGTAAGAAAATTAAACGCAACGTCTAAATGCTCAGAGCCTTATATATTTACTTATTTGTTAACAATAATATAAGAACTTAATTTTTTAAGAAAATAACGTTACTAAAACAATAAAAAAAAAAAACAGATACATCTTACATCTTGGTTTAACTGAAATATAGTCGATATCATTACAAAATTTTGAAAGTTTGTCAACATCACGAAAAATTTCATTAAAAATAACCAAGTATTATTTTGAGTAAAAAAACAAAGACAACAAACAATTCTACCATGAGTAGATTAACTGTAGTATACTATAAATAAAATCAAAGCAAAAATTCTTATGCAAGAATTATGGCTGTTAAAATTATCATGGGATGACCCACTGCCTCCTGATCTTCGGAAGGGATGGCGTGACTGATTAAATGGTACCAAGGCTCTGAATTATTTGCGGAATTCAAGGCCGTTCATAACCTCATAATGAATTTAACCCCTTTACCTAAAGATCATGAATATTTCAAAGAAAAAGTTTACACCAAATAAAAAGTATTAAATATCATTTTACTTAAAGTTACGTTTATAATTAAAAATCTCATGCTATTGTGACATCCCATTGTATATACTTAATATTTACTACCCTTAAACATATAGTTCGGTACTAAAATTAAAAAAAAGTAATGCTCAACGATCTTTC